AAATTGTTTGTTTCAGAGAGGCAAGGATTTATGCGTGGTTTTGAAGGCCAGGAGGGATGTCGGCATGATTACCTTCCCAACTCCCACCTGCAGTATGTAAGCCAGCACAGATGAAGGCATCCATCCCCTCTTCCTCACATCTGCCCTTGGCCGAGCAGTGACTTTGGCAGTGTCCCAGCCGGGCCCCGCTGCCTCTCATCACCTCATCAGCACCTTGCTCTTCAGCTCTCTCCCCTTGCTTGGTTTCTCCAAGCTCTGCCCTCCCATCTCCTTAAGGACCTCCAAGCAGCCCCCTTCGATGCCAAGGGGCCGGTGGGGCCCTTTGCTCTTCCAAATGCCAAGGGGACCGCTGCCATCCTCCTCTTCCTCTCCCTTCTTCCCCAAGTGTTGGGGTTACCTGCACACCACACCATCTTAAAATGCAATCTTATACATTCCCACAGCTTTCTGATGGATCCAGAGCCGTGGTCCCTGCTCCCACAGATCACCCGCCACATAGACTGAGTTGCACGAGGTTGCTCTTACCTTACAACTGTAATGTTTTCATTCCTCTTGCCAGCAAGAACTGGACAAAGCCAAACTGATAGACCACAGAAATATACTTTTTTAAAAGGTTCTTGATTTTGATTTAAAGGACCTGAGGGTTGAAGACCTTATCATGTCTTTTGACCATCTGCTACGCTATCCAGCTACCCTCGTTATTACAAACAAGCATCTTATTTCCAGCTTAGATTTATTGATTTCTGCTTCTGGCCAGAGGGTCCTATTAGAGCTTTGTTTGCACTGGGTATCTTAAAGGTCCCCCGATGGCAATTTCCCCCCACTTGTCCCAGAGAGAAGAGCCAAGGGCAGCTCCATCTGAGGATGGAGAGCCCCACACGAGCTTCCTTGCCTCCCAATAGCTTTTTTTCCCCCCCTAAAAAGCCACATTGGCAGAAGAGCCCATGAGGTCCTGGGCACCAATGCAGCCCTTTTCCTCAGCCACCCTCTGGGATGTACATAGCAGTGGAGCATCAAGGGTTCAAAAGCTGGCCCACAACATACAACCATCTTGCAACATTTCATCTAAGAGCTAAAATTAAAAATAAAAAAAAAAAATCAAAAAATCATACATAAATAGGGTATAATTGCTTCCTTTTTAATCCTTATTTTTAAAAGTATGCCTTTTCTTTCATAAGCATACGACGATGATCAAAAGAATCCCATGTCTTTAAAAACAAGACAATCTCCTGTATCGTGTCACCGCTCTCTTCTGCAAATAACATTATTTCCACATCTTTCAAAATCCTGTGGCATGTGTATTGTCGACAGAGTAACAGCCTTCGCAGAGATTTGGCTTCTTCTACTTTTGTTTAAGCACCTACCTAATTCTATTCAAGTTAAAATTAAACAGGTAAAAAAAAAAGTATAAAAAGTTTATAGTACAAAAAAAATTATACAACATAAAAAATTATCTCATAAAAATTAAGACAGACTATACAGGAAAGGGTGAAGAAGAAATTCCCAGGGAAAATTCAAAGCTGCCTGAAGTAAATAGTGGTGCTCCCATGACACCAGTCTTCGGGTTTTTAGAAAACAGAACCACAGCTTAACAAGGACTGAATGTACACGAGTATATACAGTAATTACGTATATATACAGTGATTATGCAAAGGAATTTATCTGGAAGTTTAGGATTATTCTTCCCTGATCTTGGCCATCTGTGAGAAATACAATGTACCTCATGATTCTGATAGTTCAATTTTTTTTTTAAGGGGACGAAAGTTTCTGTGTAACTTTCCTCCCTGTCTTTCCCTGATGTAAATAAAAACATTTCCAGATAATGAACATATACCTGAACAAGGTAAACTGTTTTCTTCCAGTGTTCATGTCTTTTAGGACTGGCTCAAATGAGACAACGCTGGCTGGCAGTGTTGGGTTTCCCCATCCGTGAAGCCTGGCACTCCCAGCCGCGATGCGGGGATCCACCACATGAGTAATTGCTCCTGGAAGTCTTACGTGTGCTTATACCCGTGCAAAATTTCATTCACATTTCTTGCAAAGATCCTACCTAAACTTTCCGATGAGTGATGATGCCTTGCATCTTCCTTCCCAAATCTCAGCAAGATCCCAGGGAAGCGGCCGGAGAAGCATTAATGGCTGGCTGGGGAAGCTCCCACCACGTTCCTTCTAGCTCATCAATGAGACGAGAAACCTGAGGAAAGGAACACGAACAAACACACATGGATTATCTGATCTCTACAAGTTACTGCAATATTCAAGTTGAATCATAAATGTTCCAAAAGCTTACGAGGCAACACAAGGCTATGGCACAGGCAGGGTCAGATGAGCAAGGGAGCACAAGCAGCTCTCTGCCCTTGGAAGCCAGGCTGCTTTTAGGGAGAGTTAAGAAAGAGCAAAGCTTTTCCTTTTTCCTAAATATATATATATATTTCATTTTTAAGAAGGATTCCCCTTGGCTGGTTCAGTTCTCAGCCCACTAAACAACTTTGGTATGCGAAGGATGAACTGAACACAAGAGTCCCCCAGGAATCAGTGGGAGCACCCATGGGCAGTAAGGAAATACACACTGTGGTCTGTGGGACCGAACCAGTAAGTCATCTGTCAGGGGAAGGTGTTAATTAACCCTTCCCAAAATACTAAGAGTAAAGACCCAAACATCTCTTCTTTGGACTCCCTGAGAAAACCAAGAACTGGTTTGGGTATATAACGCTGACTGGTTTGGCCATGATGGCTGGGTCATGGTGAGAGTACTCTCAACGCAGTCGGTGCAAAAATATTATTCATTTTGTATCGGTTTCTGAAGGGAAGTATAAAAATGCCACAAGAAAGTAAGTCATTGCTAATATTAGAAGGGAGATAATTTTGACGTACGTAGTAAAACTTGTACTAGGTATTCAGTAAACTCTGATGAGAATTCTTAAAATACATCTGAAACACAATGATGTAATTAAATAAATATAATGGGAAGGCGATACCTTGTAGGACTTGCAGTATCTCATAGGGAGCTTTTTCACGGAGACATTCGTGCAAAGCTTCTGCAGTTCCGTTGCTTTGCTCTCTGTCTCTCCACTTACTTAACAACAGAAATTTTTGCATATTAACTTCTTTCTCTGTTGCCTGAATCTGCTCAATGTCTTTCATTCCCATCTCAAGACACTCAATGGCAATTTCTCTCCACTGCCTATCAAACAACTTTGCGATCACCATCAGCTGTTGATCAGTTAAGTTTTTTGTTTCAATTCCATCTGAAAAGACAGAACAAAAATCAGATTTACCATTGCTTTTCTCATTAAACTTGTAACTAAATGACGCCATTAGTTCTGTGAGTGGCTGGGGACATACGATGAAGGTGATCTTATTATTCAGATTATCCAGCAAGGTCAGAGCCAAGCGCTGGAGAAAAGGACCTGAAGGACTAAGAAGCCTGGTTCATGAAGATGACAACATCTGATTGCATGCTGGCTGCTGTAAATTTTTTTTTTTCCCATTTATAAGCAGCTATTCATCTAGCAGAAAAACTGTACGAACTGTACATTAGGTTACCGAGCACCCAGAGATTTTGAGACGTGTAACGTTAAGGCCATGCTAAGCACTCATTACCTCCTGGCAAATTCAGATGCCAGTTTTTCTGGAAACCTACAGCTGCTCCAGATGTTTGTTTTACCTTTAATTACAACGGCTCAGAGTTCTCAGCCAGCGCAGTTGCACAGACTGAGCCGCTTTCCTCCTCGGTGACACCAATTACACATCAAACTGAGTTTTGAGGGATGGAAGCTCTCCCTCTGGTGGCTGCATGCACCCATAAACACGCACCTACATGGCTACTTTTGCTGGGTTTTTTTCCATTATCTATTGAACCAATATTATTTCTTCTGGTTTTTTTCTAAGTAACCATTAGTAAATGAGTAGTTTCTGGGTGGGAGCTCCCAGACAACAAGCATTTCTTACCATCAGAACCTCACATGTCAACAATAAATGGGAGGTGATTTTTTTTTTCAGAAAAAATTTTTTTCAAAAAAAATTTTTTTTTTCAGAAAAAAATCAGCCTAGAACGGCTCAGGACGTATCCCAAAAGCAAAATCTGAGACACGTAGCGGAAACCTCTTCCAAAAGCAGCCATTATTTCCCAGTCTTAGAAGACAATACCAATTTAGCTGGTCCTTATAAAGCAAATTTCCTAGCTGCTTCTCCCCTTTTACTCACCAAACGAGTGACAAAGTGTACCAAAGTATACAAATGTAGGTACAAATCCTGCATCTACAAACCCAGCACTTTCTCCTCCTATATTCCATGCTCAGATTCATGGAAGTCTTTAGAAAAGTGAGCTCAAGTTCAACTCATGGCATACAAAGAAAACCCCACAAAACTTATTTTAAATGACACAGAAATGCTCTACCTGCAATGTTGCTGGTCTTTTGCTTTTTGCTACAGAGCTCATCTTCTTCCAAAATGCCGATGGATGGCTTCCGTCTTTTGACACCTAAGCAGCAAGGGAGAGGTGATGTTACTTCTCTCGTATCCCTTGAGCTGCAACAAACAAGTGAGGTACATGGAAAATAAGCAACCCCAACTTATTTTCCAATGGACTTACTGACTGCGCTGCTTTTCTGCTTGTTTTTGTTCTGATCGTAGTGTATCCAGTCACCTGGCAAACAGTTTTCAGAGGAAACAAAAGGTGAGGCAGGAATTCCCATTGCTATGCCCTGCATCCAACAATTCTCAGGCACAAAACCAAGCTCTTGGGTGGATTCCGGCTGTTGAGCTAAGGTTTTATACAATGAGGAGATCTTTCCCCTTTTACCCGGCGTGCTGCAGCACACCATCTATGATATGCAATAGAGATTGCATATTATTCCTAATAACTAAAACTGAAGCGGGGCATCCTCCTGCACACCCCACAGCCCTGAAGCCTCTGCCTATTTGCTCACGAGGGATTCTGCAGGTTACTGCGACACCCACTACGTGACCTCCCAGAGCTCTTTCTCTTTCTGTTTTATCAAAAAGAATTTCAGTGCGTCTAAGGGTGGAATTATATCCCAGCTCCTGCATCTTTCCAGCAGGAACAAACCAGTCATGGGAAGACCAAAGACTCACTCTCTCTTAGTTTTGCTTTCCACACAACCGCATCAGACTCCAGCTCAACCAAAGACAAGGTGAAGTCGTCGGGTTTCTCCAAATAGACTTCAATGTAACTTTTTAGTTTCAGGAGAGATCCATCAACAAATTCAATTTCCTACACAATGTAAATACATTAAAAATAAACATTTATCCAAACATAAACTGAAGAGGAGTATTTGCCTGTTGGCACAGCTCTGAGCCCAACTCTAATCTCCCCAGAGTTTTCGCTATTGACTTTGGCGTCAGGATTTCATCCCAAAATTTTAGGACTGTAAGAGGCAAACGCTTTCTGCAGCGATAGCAAATGAATGTGAAAAATGCCCTTAATACTAGTGCAGGAAAAGCTGTTTTGCACCACGTTTCCAACCCAGCTACAACGCACAGAATGAGGGCTGTGTGAGGGACTTACCTCTGGAGTTATTTCGGCTTCTGGCTCACAAACTAATCTATACCTCTTTCCTTTCTGTAGTAATTTCTGGCATACAGGGGGCTTGTCAATTTTAATGAATTTCTTATTTGAATGTTTTACGGCCCTTGAGATATCCTAAAATTTGAAAATACAATTTAAAGATTACTCTCCTCAGTAAAGGAATTACCATTTAAAACCTGTGCTCATGTAGCTCCTTGCGCTTTTCTCTGTCCCCAGCTGTATGAAATGGCCCCAACCTGTTCCACATGGCAAAATGTACTGAAAACTGCACTAAACACTATGCTCAAAAAACATCAAATAAACTTCTTCAGCTGTTGGGCTACATGGGTGAAAATAAATAGAAGAGTTTGCAACCCAAATAAAAGGAAGGTTATTTGTTGCCAGCCTCTTCTAGTGTTTGCCTACATACTGGGAGGGGGCAATGCATGAGAAGACAAGAATCTCTTTCAGGTACAAATCCTGAGCTCCGTGGATTTTGGTGGCAAACAGGTTTCTGATGTATTTCTTTTCTATAGCAGCTTGTGAGTGAGCATGTGGGCGAGTATATTTCCTTAAATATAGTAACTTGGCAGACCTTTTTGATATGGAAGTCCCATTATATACATATATAAAATTGTATTATTATTGCAGAAGAGCTTCTCTTTGCCATACCCCATCCTCAACATAGCACCCCCATAACCCACCCTGCCAGTATTTCTACATCATGCCACCCTACACCCCTGACATGAGCCATACCTTTATAAAGGAGTCGTTGTTTGTAGCCACATAGACCCGAAAGGACAAGGAGGGATGCTCATCGATGACTTTGTAGAGGATGACGGCCCCGTGGTACTGCACCGGCTCCTGGCTCTGGATGAGCGGTCCCACCGGCGAGAGCGAGCTCACCAGCCACTTCACGTGCGAGGCTGAGTAGTCGGCGGAGGGCTCGATGGCTGCACCCTCGCCTTTGATGTGCAAAACCTTGAAGGCCATGCCAGCGCCATGATCTGCGGGGACACAGGGCCACCTCAGCGCCTCCTGCGCCGGGAAGCCGGCAGCCTCCCGCGCCCGCCGGGCCGGTGGCCGGCACTCACCGCCGAGACAGAGGGAGTGGGGAAACTGGATGGAGGTGAGAGCGGAGGCTGAGTCACAGCGCACGTCGAAGAGCGGGCCGCCCACGATCCACGGCTTTTCCACGAGGTTGGCGTATTTGCTCCAGGATAAGAGGGAATATGTGATTTTGACGGCCCCCGTTACCTCAAAAATCAAGCCTGTGAGGCTGCACTGGTAAGTCCCCTCTGCGTCCAGCTGCACTCTGTAATGGGCAAGAGTGACCTGGTTAGTTTAGTTTCCACCGCCTAGTAAATACCATAACAATGTGGTTTGCAAGGGATAACAGAGAAACTCCCTTCCCAGCAAGCACAGAGCACTTTATCTGAATGGCACAGAAGCCACAACTTTTTTTCTCCAGTCTCTATGTTTAAACCGTTACTGGGGTGTTAAAAGCTGGCCAGGAGGACCCAGCCAGTGCATGCAAAATAGCTGTGATGAACGTTCTGCATAATGTTTCCTGCAAATGAGGCAGCTGCTTTTACATGAAGGGCTCAGCCCAGCTCCCACCAACGTCGGAGCCAACATCATACACTGACAACATCAACATCATACGTGGACAACACCAACATCACACCCTGATGACAACTTCCAAGCCAGCGAGAGGGAGCACGAGGCTGGCGTCCACTGAAAAATGCAAGGTCAGTGCAAATGGGGTGGACGAGTGTTCTTGTGAAGCAGGGCAAGACCCCTCATGCGTGTCCAGACCCAAAAAAAACCCATGTAGAAATGTGCCTGATGTTAATTACTGCAGCGAGATGAGGCAGGCAGGAAGTCATCCCAAGAGCTTTCTTGGACCAGGACCTTCAGGCAGCATGGGCAGCTGCTCCAAATTGTTTATTTTTAAGGATTTGGGGGCATCCATCATAACTGCAAATGTATTTGTACAGCAAATGAGTCTTTTTCCCACTTAAATGGAAAAGGGAAGTATCTTGATGAGAACAATATAAATGTATAGCCATTATATTAAAAAAACCATACACATGCTGTCCTCCACAAAGTCTCCTGGGGGTCACTTGCTCCTTCTGGTCCTATACAAATGGATAAAAGAAAAATACATATTTTAAAAGGTGATGAGAGAGCAGAATTACAATTTGCAGATTATCTCATGCAAAATATGTGGGTTTGGTTTTTTTTATAAACGTACATTTGCATTTCTGCAATGCTCACAGGGTGGCAGACAGTTCACTCCTAGCAAGAAAACAGGAAGATCAGCTCATTAAAAGCAAAGTAATTAAATACTCAGAAAAAAACGCAACCCCTAAGACATCTGTTACTACCTGACTCATCGCAGGGCGGTATCAATTCCTTCTCCTCTTGTTCTTCATCTACAAAAAAGAAGTTTGCAGCAAATGCTTCAGCCTCCAGCAGGTTTCTGCTCCCATATTCAGCAAGGACAACCCGTTAGCTTAATTTGTTTACTTTAAAAATTACCTAAGGAAAATATTCCTAAGACTAAGCTCTTACTTAGCACACTTGCACACCTGCACGTGCAGGCTTCGCACAGCGTGGGGATGAAGCTGAACATCAGGACACAAAATTTATCAAGTGCTCATAAATTGCCCAAACTACTGGAAATCTTCACAGGGGTTAAAAAAAAAGACTCGTCCCCAGGATGAGTCTCATCGTGCCAAGCACAAAGTTCAACCACCTGGCACAGAAGCTGGCAACGGCGCTTCAGAGTGAGCATGTAACCATACTATTTGCAGCGTCTGTGTTCCTAAAGTGATTTAAAAGTGCCTGAACCCTCCTTACTAACCCCCAACACAAAAGAAAGCAAGCGGTGCTGACACATCGGGCAAAAGCTGTTAGCCCGAAGGGTGGATTTTGCAGCAGCCGAGCGGCAGAGCTGTTGTGACAAGGTGTGAGGACGGGCTGGCTGCCAGCGTGCGGGGGCACGGGCACTGTGCTGCTCGCTCCTGCTCCCTGTCCCACCAACACCCCTCCCTGCAAGCAGGGACTCCAGCCGGGCTGTCCCAAAGTCATCCTGGGACACCAAGACCCTCCTGAGCAGGCAGATGTGGGAGAGGCAGAAAACGTATTGCTGCAGGGAGCAGCCTGGAGAACATCAGGCAAACACCCGCCCGCGCGTTGGCTCCCTTCCCGCGGCGATGCTATTTCAGTCCCCGAGCTGCAGCGGGGCTGCAGTGACCTGGGGCCACCCGTGGCAAGTGGGCAAGGAAGGGTGCCTTGGCTCTGTCCGGCATCTCCCTGCACCCACAGCCCCGTGCCGGGCTCCATTTGCAAACAGAGGCAGGAAGCGTGCACCGCGCATGCACCCCATGCACCCCCCTTCTTGGGTATGCTCCCTAGCAAACAGTTTTACCAAAAGACACGGAGGTGACAGCCGGGCCAGCACTAAATCACTCTCTTGCCATCACTTATCATTACCCTCACGCATCCCTTATCCATGTTGGCTACCTCACAACTTGCAAGGCAGATATAAGGAACAAAACAAAAGCACACTCACCCAACCTTCTTCCATCCAACTCCTCTGCATCTGATGAGAAAAAAACTTCATAATTATTTAACTAAAGACTATCAATCTTGCATGAAACCAGAATAAACTGCTGGTGGTGTAACCCATGTAAGCACAAACCCACAGGCTTTTCATCAACAACAAACGCTTCCTTTAATTCTTTTCCTGTCCATCCTGTTTTGCCACTTTTGCTGCCAACTTTTAAGCAGATTTATAGCCTCTTGGTGTTGGGACAACTACTGTGGTGTAAAAACATCTGCATGTATTGTGTCTATGAGGCTAAAGCAACATTAGCTGCTGCTCCTCTATTATTGCCCTGCTCAAAACTGAGCAGCTAGGAAATCATTTGCTCACAAAAAATATCGTTCTGCTTTTCAGCATGCAATCACTGAATTAACAGCCTTATACAATAACCCTGAGACTATTCCCATGAAAAGCAGCTGGTTTAAACTGAACATACATTTTCAAAAGGGAAAATATACATAAATCGCAACACGATGCTCACCTGGCTCCTCTTCTGAGCTACTGCTGGAGCTGTCTTCGGAACTGTCCTCTCCTTAACAAAATTACACCCCATTAGTCACAGGCAGAATGAAATAAAGCAATGCCACAGGTAAGTAAAAGGATACATCTGTGTTGTGGTTTACCCCCAGCTGGCAACTAAGCCCCGCGCAGCCACTCATTCTCTCTCCCCTTTCCCACCCCCCAGTGGGAGGCAGGAGAGAATCTGGGAAAAAAAGTAAAACCCATGGGTTGAAAGACAGTTTAATAAAAGAGCAGAGGAAAATAATTAAAAAAATAACAACAATAATAATAATAATGATAAAAGAATATACAAAGCAAGTGATGCACAATTCAATTGCTCACCATCCACTGACTGATGCCCAGCCCATCCCTGAGCAGCGGTCACCACTCCCCATCCTACTCCCCCAGTTTCTATACTGAGCATGACACCCTATGGTCTGGAATAGCCCTTGGGCCAGTTGGGGTCAGCTGTCCTGGCCGTGCCCCCTCCCAGTCCCTTGTGCCCCTGGCAGAGCAGGGGAAGCTGCAAAGCCCTTGCCTGGTATAAGCCCTGCTCAGCAACAACTGAACCATCAGGGTGTTAGCAACATTATTCTCATCCCAAATCCAAACCACAGCACCATGCCAGCTACTAGGAAGAAAATTAACTCCATGCCAGCCGAAAGCAGGACAATGTAGAAGTTTAAATACATCAGGCTGGTCAGCAAGTTAGATTATATAACAAGGTAGAAAAACCACTTCGGCAGGGAGGAGCATCCGAGCAGCAAATCCCAGCATCAGAGGAGAATTAGGGGTCACGCAGGCCCTCCTGAAGGGTACACGTGATGTTCAGGATGCTTTATTTTAATGTTTTATACAACCTGGGACTATTTTGGAGCTTCACCCGTGACACATCCCAGTTCACCCAGCTAAATTATGGTTTTCTGTGACATGCACATGAGGTGGGAGAAGCATCGGTGGCAGCTGGTGTGTCCCACCAGTGACCTGACTCAAGGGGATGCACCATACTCGGCTTAATAAATTATTCTTATAAACGTAAGTTGGAGAGAAACCAGTATTGCAAAGCAAGTGACTTGAGGAGTTGGAGTGGCTTAATAAATTATTCTTATAAACGTAAGTATTGCAAAGCAAGTGACTTGAGGAGTTGGAGCAGTGTCTACACTGTGGTTTTATCACATTGCAGGGAAATGGTGGGTGCAAGGCCAGCCACACCATCCCACACGCAGGGAGAGCCCTCAGCCATGTGTGTGCTCACCCGCTGGGTGCTCCTCAGCCGAGCCCTCTCCCTCCGCACCGTTGGCTGCCACCTCTGCAAGAGAAAAGCAGTTGGGGAAAATAAGCTTGAAAAAGATCTAACTCTTCTCTTGGTGTTTTTGTACTATGCAGGTCAGAGGAAGTGAATAAATAGCAAATAAAGATCAGTATAAATAAATCAAAACTCTCATCCACTAAACTAAGGCATTACACCACGTTTTTTAAAGCCAGCAGTTACAAAATTGTCATTTCCATCCCGAAGGATGGGCATTTCTCCTAACAAACCCATTTGAAGCGCTGTATTTCACAAAATTACTGTACCTTTTTCATCTGAAGAGAGGGACTCAGCTCCGCTGGAAGGCAAAACGTGAGATACATGAGCAGATCCATCAGTCCTTTGCTGCGGGCATCTACCCACCTCCCTGCCCACTGGCATCGCTCCCTGGCTTCAGCCAGGGAACTGGAGGTAACTTAGGATGGGGCTTAAAAAATACTTTTCTCTAACATCACCCATGGCCCTGGCTCTTGCCCTGGCTCTGCTAGGGAGACCTGGCTCTCCTGTACATTTCCCAAAAGCACAAGCCCTCAGCCCCGGCCCCTTTTGCAAAGTGCCCAGAATTTGTGTGCCAGGTGCCCGTTGGTTTTGGTAGCAATCCAACCAATCTTCTTCAGCAAGGCACGAAGCTCAGATAAACATGGAAGCTCAGATGTGGGAGATGACTCCCATTTGTGCCTGTGGCAAATTCAGACCAACCTTCAGTCTCCATTCACTCTTGAAAAGGGGACATGTGCTGGTTTTATCATTTAGGGATAAAGACCGGGTCTGGAAACCTTTCCATGGAGCTCCACAAAACTCCACAACGCCCTTCCTGGGGCCCCACTCAATAACCACCATAAAAGCTGCTGCTGAGGAAGGGAATCACCCTGGGCACAGCTACCATAAAGCAGCAGGTGACATCCAGCTCTCCATCGCTTCGGTGGCATGAGCAAATATCCCAGCCCCCAGCAGCCAGCTGGAACAGCAGCCGTATGCCACGTGAGCAGGGAAAGATCAAACAGTCCCTCGCTCTTTGGAGGCAGGGGAGGGATTTCAGTGCCGCCCTGGCGATGCCGAGGGATGCTGGCAACAGTGAAGCCAAGCCACAGCAGTTGCTCTTCGGCAGCTCAGCTCAGGAGGCTGATTTTGACCATCCCGGGCTACCTGCCATGCATCCACAGCCCATCCTCTCTGTGCCCCAGCTCCCTGGGGGGCACCCAACAGCAGGGGGTACCACCGGGGCAAGTGGGCATCACTGCAGGAGTCAGAGCCTTGGCCGTCACTGCCCTGGGGCAGCTCGAAGACAAAATTAAAAAATAAAAAATGAATAGGTGGTAATGGTAAAGGCAGGAAAATAAATCCCCTAACGTACGGCTGAGGAAGTAGGTGAAGCGATGCAAGCAAGGGGGGTCCTGGCAAGGTGCGGCAGAGTAGGTGGCTGCATGGGGTTGATCCCCTGCAGCCTGGAGCTGTACGAGTTTGTCGGTCAAAGGCAGGGAAAACGGTGCTGCAGCCAGTTAGACACGGAGAAGAAGCTGGGTAAGGGTTTCCTGGCGGGCACGAATGGGAAATTACACCACGGCAGTTGCGCTTCCATTTGGACAAGGACTGGACAAAGCCTGGATATACCCCACAGACGGCGCCCGAGCCGAGCGCTGTTTGTGCAACCCGTCCGTAGATTGCACAGGGTTTGCCTGCTGCAGGCTTATGCCCCCCCGAGGCTGCATTTCCCGCCTCCTAAACTGAAAAACACGCTCCGGAGGAGAGAAGCAGGCAGAAAGAAAGAAAGAAAGAAAACCCCAGCCCGGTTCAGTCTAAGAAATTATTTCCCACGATTGTTTACAAATGGGAAGGAAGGCACTGCCGGCTCCGTCCCCGGCCCGGTGCTCCGCAGCCCCGGCTGAAGCACAGCCCAGGCTGGCGATGAGGGCTTCGGAG